TTATGCAAGGCAAGGCTAAGTGCAATTCCTTGGCATATGTATATCAATGCTACTCCTTGAATCACTTCAATTGGCATAAGTTGACTTAAGCTATTAATAAATATCTATTGATAGTTGAATAACATGTTATAACCCAAAAGATTTTCAATTGGGGACTTGCTATTCTTTTTATTATAAGTTATTTAAAACTCTACGTTATACAAATATTTGAAAATTTGCCTCATATAAATGCATGCAAATGTTAAGCAGCCTTATTAATGAATAGCAATATTGGTCAATAATGCCAATACAATAAGTAATTTCTTACATTGTGCCATGCATTTTACTTATATCTTTGTTCAGAACATGACTTCAACCACTTCATTGTACCCAATCGACGATACAAATGTTGTGGAAGTTTCGGATCAGTCTCAGCATTCCGCTTTCGGTGAAGTTAGCTCGGAAGAGTGTACCGAGGCTTCCATTTCAAGAAGATGCAATAAAGTGTATAGATATACCTCACCATCATGGAGTCCTTTATCTAAGCAATCAAGTTCTATTTTTATTGAAAATAACACACCTAATATTGCTACCACATTGTATGGAGTTTCTTTAAACTGTGTTTCCCAATCCGCATCAAACACTAATATGACCAATAAGATAAGTACTTTATCTGGCAATTCTAGCAACATATGTGATAATGTTATGTCCACTGGTACACTTGTTGGCATAAATCTTCTTAAAGAAAATGAAGTGACAATCAAGGGGAAGGAGGCAGATGAAGAGGATAAGAGCGGCAATGATCACGAGGCACATTCTAGCACTCTTCGAGATCGTTCCACACTCTCGGAAGCACATGTAACTGAAAATTCCACAAATTATAACTCCACTAACAACAATGATGATTATGTTATATTACTTACTGGGTCTGAATCAAAATTCTCTACAAATGATGCTAGGAATAATGGGTCAAAGAAAGCTAAACAACAAGTCCCCGACATCAACCAACTTACTGTCACAAACAAAATTAATGCACCTGAGACTACAGAAATCTCAGATTCTACGTCGGCTGAATTCTTACTCGTGCCGATTGGTCTTAACCAAATGAACAAACTACCAATAGATCAGCTAGCTCTGATGGGTAACTATGGCAATAATTCTGATAAACTCGCAGGTTCGGTACTACACTCAAATTGGCCTATGAAGCAGCACTATTGTCCTCGCCACGGTCATTTAACTTTGCCACAAACCCAACCAATAAGTTCAATCCTAAGCTCAACTGACGGGCAAGCAAGAAATTTGCCCGCTGAACTAAAGATAAAAGAACCTCATAAGTCATTCACGTGTTTGCATTTAGTCAACTCAATTAATTCTGGGGAGAACGAAGCTCTAGCTCCATGCAGTGGTTACTTTTTATTGACGGTAGCTGCCTCTGAATTTGAAAAATGTAATGCTAAGCAGTACGATCGTCCAGGGTCCAACATGGTATATTCTACTGAGAAAATAATTTCTTCTTCTCCTGAAGCTGCAACTAGACTCATTTGTCAGGTGAATAAGAGTGGCGAGCAGCCATGTGAATGCGCTTATATTGAGGAGCAAGTAGAGGATACCCAGTTAGATGCCGTTTTGAATGAAGCATCAAAAGAATCAGGAAAGCCTGAAATCGACAAAACGTTACAATCAAGTAGCAAGGAGTCCC